GCAACTGATGAATTACTAAACTCTACCCCTGAAACTAATAATACACTATATGTTAACTAAATTGAATTTAAATTAAAAAATTTTTAAAAATAAAATAAATTACCTGAATCCTCCAATTAAAAGACAGATATTGTCAGATTAAATTAAAAAGGAAAAAAGCAACCAACCATATGATTTCTACAAGAAACCTACTTTAAATATAAAGAAACAGATGAATTAAACGTGAAATGATGGTGAAATTATACCACACAAACAGGAATCAAAAGATTTTATGGATTTTATTTATCTAAAATATAGAAAGATGTTTTGAGCTCAGGACAAAATTATTGGTAACATTTTTTTTAAGATTTTATTTATTTAACAGAGAGAGAGAGAGAGAGAGAGAGAGAAAACACAAGAAAGGGGAGCGAGCAGCAGGCAGAGGGAGATCAGTGGGGGGCCCGATGCGGGGCTCGATCCCAGGACCCCGGGATCATGACCTGAGCCGAAGGCAGACGCTTAACTGACTAAGCCACCCAGGTGCCCTGTTGGTAACATTTTAAAAGTGCCATACTGATCTCTAAGTGTTAAGCTTTCTTTAGAATGAAAGATAATTACAACAGCACCATGGAATAGAACTATGTAAGTACCAAGTGAACCACACGCGTAATTTTAAGTTTTCTAACAGCCACACGAGAAAGAGTTAAAAGAATAGTGGTGGATATTCATAAATTTGTCAAAACCCATAGAATGTATAACACCAAGAATCACCCCTCATGTAAACTCTGGACTTGGGGTGACAATAATGAGTCAGTGTAGGTTCATTGATTTTAACAAATGTGCCACTCAGCAGGATGTTGATAGCAGAAGAGCCTGTGCCTATGTTGGTGTGGGGGGTATATGGGAAATCTCTATACTTGCTGCTCAATTTTGCTGCGAACTGAAAATGCTCAAAAAAAAAAAAAAAAGGAAAGAAAGAAAGAAAAGAAGTCTGTTTAAAACAAAACAAAACAAAAAACCCAGCAACAACACAAAAAACCCAAAATAGGTAAAAAGAAACAGGTGGAGGGCGCCTGGGTGGCTCAGTCGTTCCCGGGATCGGGCCCTGCTCCATGGGAAGCCTGCTTCTCCCTCTCCCACTCCCCCTGCTTGTGTTCCCTCTCTTGCTGTGTCTCTCTCTGCCAAATAAATAATTAAAATTAAAAAAAAAGAGAGAGAGACGGGTGGAATTAATTTTAATAATATTTTACGTTCTTATTTTCATACTGTCTTTAAAATCTGGTGTCAGCACATTTCAATTTGGACTTGCTATCTCTCTAGTACTCAAGAGCCACATGTGGCTAGTGGCTACCATATTAGACAGTACAACTTGAGACTTGACTCTTCTCTCCTGGGGAGGAGATGGGAAGTAAGGTGGGAAGTAAATCCAGCCAGTGAGTTCTGTGACCCAAGTTGAAGGTTGTCCATATCTCTCATTACAGTTCTAGAGTGTTTAACATCATTCACTGTCTGTCAAGCACTGTGTTAGACATTTTAAATAATATTTTCCTTCATCTTCTTAAGAAGTCCAAGATAAACTTTATGTAAAGGAAAAAACTGAGACTCAGAGAAGTTAAATGACTTTGCCCAAGGTCAGACAGTTAGTCAACACAATGAACTACTAATGTGATTAACAGCTAATTAGTGCAATTTGGACTCCAGTGTATCTTAAGCCCATGCTCTTTACACTACATTACATTGCTGCTTTCTGTCTCGTGGGAAACCTAACTGCTTCCGGTGGTCTGATCAAAGGGAAACAGGAAATAAGCTATTAGCTTCATCAAAATACAGTAAGGTAATCCCAAAGTGGATGTGCTGTTTCTTCAAGTGTATTGAACATGCCCGAGGCCAGTGTCAGATCACTTGCCCCCAGTGGGCAATCACCATTAGAGTCTCCAAATCCTATATGCTTCATAGGGTCCCCCCACAGGAAGGTTAATGTACCAGAGAGCTGGCCAGAAAATGCTTGGCCAAGAAGGGCCTCAATGTCCCTAATTTCTTGACTTCCCCCAGGATATAGTTGTCTAGTCAGCCGTCCTTTGGTGTGGAAGGATCTCAAGTAGCTTCCATTTGGTGGTTCATCATCACAACTCAGATTTCAGCCATTCTTCTAACATGTCCGTCTCAAATATAAATCTTGGTAGTAGAGAAATTGTCTCTACTACCAGGTCCCCTCAACCTCACTGCTATAACTATATTGATTTACTTGTCCAGAGCAACTTTACTGCCCTATCTCATAAGAATTACCTGGAAATAAAGTCATTTCTGATTCTATAGCTAAGAGATCTCCAAGTATTCAGGCATTCTCTTTGTGCATGATACTCCAGGTATCACCTCTAAAGTCAACAGAGCTGCAGCCAACCACTCATGTTATTGGGGACTTAGGATCTTCAAACCGTAACTGAGCAGCCCTTTATCCTTTTCCTCCTTCTTCAGCTGTTCCTTCAGAGTCAATGATTTCTGATGGGGCAGGTGGATAGTCTTTCCTTTAGGAATCGTTATAGGTTGAACTGTGTGTCCCTGCCTCCCCTCCAGATTCATAAGTTGAAGTCCTAACCCCCAGTACCTCAGAATGTGACCATATTTAGAAATAGGGATTATTGTAGATGTTATTAGTTAAGATGAGGTCATACTGGAATAGGGTGGGCCCCTAAATCAACATGACTAGTGTCCTTATAAAAAGGATAAATTTGGACACAGACACACACACAAGGAGAAAATGAAGGCAGAGATCAAGGTGATGTGTCTACGAGCCCAGAAGTGCCAACGACTGCCAGTAACAGCAGAAGCTAGGAGAGAGGTATGAGTCAGATTCTCCCTCACAGCTCCCAAAAGGAACCAACACTGCCAACACTTTGATCTCAGACTTCTAGCTTCAAGAACTCTAAGACAATAAATTTCTGTTGCTTAAGCCACCCTGTTTGTAGTACTCTGTTATGGCAGCCTAGGAATCTAGTACAGGGACCCAATGGTCTAATGACCCATCTGCATGGCTTATAACAATCAGTCTACCTATTGAATTATCTTGGGAGTGGTATCTGTTACCTGTATGACCCCAATTTTCCATATGGAAACCTCCTTACAGGCCTCTCCATGACATTTTCTAAGGTGCACAGAGCTAAGGAGTCCAACAATCCTGTTTTGCCTGGGGCTAAGGAAGTGTCTAAGACATGAGACTTTCAGTTTTAAAATCAGGACAGTTCCAAGCAAAGCAAGATGTGTTGGTCACCTTACAAAGAGCCCACTTCCTGTTCAGGTCCTTCCAGGGCACAGTTGAACCCAGAGCAACCATCTTAGTCCCCTCAGCTGAGTGGGTTACCACAGGAACTGGGGAATTCTGTGCAGAAGAGATACATATTGTGACAGAGGGGTGAAAGCACCTCAGAGGTCCAGAACCAAAGGTAAGAGATTCTGAAAGAATGGTGGCAGAGGTGCAGGGAGGGTGTGGAGATGAAGCTGGAAAAGGTGATTGGGTCCGATGGCTAAGAACCTCTGGCTCCATGTTAAATAATTGTATATCACTGTATCCTGTAAGAGGACAGGTGGCCTCTCAGACTTTGAAGCAAGAGAGTTGTCATCAGAGCAGATGTTTCAGAAAGATTATCATAATTTATCTATATTTTCCCTTTGTAAACTTAAAAGAGAGAATAGAGGGCGCCTGGGTGGCTCAGATGGTTAAGCATCTGCCTTCGGCTCAGGTCATGATCCCAGGGTCCTGGGATCGAGTCCCGCGTTGGGCTCCCTGCTCCTTGGGAGCCTGCTTCTCCCTCTACCTCTCTCTCTCTTTCATGAATAAATAAATAAATAAAATCTTTAAAAAAAGAGAGAGAGAATAGATACAAAGGGACCTAAAACATATATAAATTGCAATATATGGACTTCAGAACTTGAAAAACTGTAAAAGGAAATTATGAGATAATAGGGGAAATGTAACACTGGATATTTAATAATATTAAGGAATTTTAAATTTGTACCTGTGGTTTTACTTTTTTTAAAAGGGAGGGGAGAGGGGGCCACCTGGGGACCCAGTGGTTAAGTGTCTGCCTTCTGCTCAGGTCATGATCTCAGGGTCCTGAGAGCCCCTGCTCAGCGGGGAGTCTGCTTATCCCTCTGCCCCCCCATGCTCTCTCTCTCTCAAATAAATAAAATCTTTTTTTTAAAGGTATTAATTCAGTAACGGAGAGAAGGAGAGAGACACTTTGATAACCAGTGGGCCCTCTCAAACATTCCCCACAATAGCTGTAGGGGTAAGGGGTGGAGGGGAGACCTACCTCCAAATTACTTCTTAAACAAAATCTAAACCTGACATTCAAGGCGCTCCATATCTAGATACACAACCATTCCAACACCCGCCTTTTCCTAATAGGAAAAAGTACTTTTTAAAAAAATTTTATTTTATTATGTTATGTTAGTCACCATAACAGTACATCAAAGACACATACAGGCTACACGTGCCAAAGAGCTTTGGTGGTGAAATTGTCCCTTGGTCCTGTTAGGAGACCGTGTCTTCGGCAGTGCCCCTCAGATTTTAGGGGAGGTCAAGTTGACCCGAGTGCTTTCTTTGCGTGTGAGGCAGCGTCTGGGCAGAAAGGATATTAAGAGGCTCATTGAGGGTAAAGAGAAGTGAAAGGAAGAGGTCCCTTTGGTTCAGCCTCTGACTATGCCCTAGTTCTCAGGCGAATTTAGAGTGTGATCTTGGCAGGTCAGTCTCCTCTCTGAGCCTCAGTGAACCCAGCTGCAAAGCTCAGGAGGTGGTAAAGGTGTTGAAAGGGCCCTTCCAGCTCTGACACCTTCTGACCCCGCACTTGGGGAACCCTGTCTGCGGGACTCCTCAGGAGAAGCCCACGCACAGCTGGGCCTTAACAAAGAGCGGGGGTCTGGGGAATGTTCCCGCCCCCAGCAGGTTTTGGAAACTCCCAGAGGCCGAGGGGCGGGGCTTGAGAGCGCCGCAGCCAATCAATAAAGGTCCAGGCCGCCGGGGCGGGGCTTCCGCGAGCAGCGGCGGCTGCCAGGCTGGGTCCGAGCATCCCGCGGCTCCGGACCCCCGGCCCGGACATGGCGGCCGTCCCGGCCTCCCCGCGAGGCGCGCTGCTGCTTCTTCTGGCCGTGGCGGGGGTCGCGGAGGTGGCAGGGGGCCTGGCCCCTGGCAGTGCGGGTGAGTAACTGCTAGAGCAGTGGTTCGGGGCGGTCCAGGGCGGCCGCCTCAGCGCTCCAAGATGGCGCGAGGTAGGGGGCGGGGGTGCGCGCGACCCCCAGACCTGGCCCAAGTCCGGTGACCCAGGGTCCGGACGTCCCGGCAGGCGGGAGGGTGTTCTGAGACGGCACGAGCGAGGAGCCCTCTCCACCCTCGCTCTCTCCGCACCGAACGTCTGCTGCACTGGGGACGGTGACCCGGGTTCGAGGCCTTGCCCTGTCACCCACAGGACAGGGGCCCCCGTCTCGGCCCTCACCCCCACAGCGGACTCGGGTCTCTGCCAGAAGTGGTGAAATGCTTTTGCCCAGGACGGTCGCGAGGGTTGGATGGGATTTCCGAGGTGCAGCCGCCTTACCGCCGCCCTGGCCAGTTATTGTAACTTGACCTACGGTTCAGAAAGGCAGACCTCAGGCGGCGAGCATTGATGGGCCCCACAGCCTACCAGGTTCAAGTCTGAAGAGAATGGGCCCGAGCCTGCCAAGTCCAGTTCTGCTGCCATCCGCGGTGGGTGCACGGTTTGTCCAAGGTAGCGCTGGGCTCTGGCGGGAGATAGATTAAAAATCAATAAACTCTGCTTTCTGGGGGCTGTTGGGCTTAAGGAGAGTTGTGTTCCTGCTCTTAAGGAATTAAACCAAGAATGGGTAAGAAATTGTTCAGTGCTTCCCACATTCTGGGCTTTAGGAGTTGATGCCAACTCTTGTCCCCCCCGAGAGCTCTGTAGGAGGTGGGGTACAGCAGGACACAGGCCGCTGGGATTCCAGGTAGAAGTGTCCAGAGGAGATGGAAGACTGGGTGCACAGAGGGAGAGAGATGACATCCATCTAGGGTGGGAGGAAAATGGAATGATCCCCCGATTGCACAAACATTAGAAGATGGTTGGGATTTATACAAGCAAAGCGGAGAAGTGCATTGCCTACAGGGAGACACACCCAGAACAAGCAAAATCAATCCCAACAAGGTTTTAAGATAACTTAAAATGTTAAAGGTTTTGTTTGTTTTTTAAGACAACGTATTTATTTTTTAAGATTTTATTTATTTTAAAAAAAAGATTTTATTTATTTATTTGAGAGAGAGAATGAGGTAGAGCATGAGAGGGGGTAGGGTCCGAGAGAGAAGCTGACTCCCTGCTGAGCAGGGAGCCCGATGCGGGACTCGATCCCAGGACTCCAGGATCATAACCTAAGGCAGTTGCTTAACCAACTGAGCCACCCAGGCGTCCCGAGACAATAAAGTATTTAAAGAAGGGAGAGAATTGTGTCAGGTACCCGGGATTAGATAGTTAATTGTAACTGGGTTCTAAATTTGGCTGTCAATTAGACAACAAAGGAGAGAGAGAATGAGAATATGCTGTGTATACTTGGCTAAATCAGCTGACCTTTCTGGGCCCCATTTTTCTCATTAGGTTGATCTAAAGCACTTCCAAAGTTATGGTCCATGGAATACTAGTCCATTCTCATCCCACAACCACTTGATTCTGTGGAGTAATTAAGAATATTTGAACACGTTACTTATCCTTAGTCTTTTTGTGCGTTAATATCCACATTTATTATATATAGTACCTTATGGATTTTATTGTGAGAATTAATTGAAGTAATACATGTATAGAATTTAGAATAGTGTATAGTAAGCACTGAAACATTAACTATTAAATAAGCTTGGGAAACACTGCACATTGTACCTTTTTTTTTTCATAAATTCACAAAACATGTTAGACTCACAATAAAGGGTACAAGGATTCTTTTTACGGTAATGAAAATGTTCTTAAGTAGTTGTGATGGTTGCACAACTCTGAATATTTTATTTTAAAAACAACTAAACTATACACTTTAAAAGGGTGCATTTAATGGTATGTGATTGTTAATGTATAAACCGAGGCATATTAAACATTTTAAGAGTTTACTTGAGCAAAAATTGATTTGAATCAAGTAGCATCAAACAGGAAGTGACAGGAGCTAGTGGAAAGATCTTGATAGAGAAGAGGTAGAAGCAAAGCAAGGAAATTATTTGATTGGCGGTAACTTAAGTGGATGCCTTATTGGGGAAGCCTCGATGGCTGTTTGTGATTGGTTGTCCTTAGGTTTCGATTTCTTCACCTTGAGGCATTATAGGCTTAGGTTTTGGTTTGCTTAAGTAGGCTATCAGGGCATTAAAACCACCTCAGTCTAATGGCCTCCTTGCTTAATTTAACATGATTTATATTTCAATAAAATTATTATAGAAAGAAAGAAGCTTGTTTGCTTATGAACTCTTTTTGTTCATGATATCTAAAGGACACTAGAAAATGCTGGGCTAGATAATTTTCTAAAGGCCCAGCTCTAAAATTCCATGACAACATATAGTTTGCATTGTTTGATAAAAAGAAAAATTCCAAGTTTGATCTAAAAGTGAGATTTGTCCCTTGTTCTAAGTTCTAGGAAGCATTTATTGCCTGGTCCTTACATAAAGGACATTGAGTAATACAATGGACAAAAGCTTCCATTGTGATTTTGTAGCAAGTGTGGGAAAAGTTCTTCAATCCTAAATAAAAATTGAGAACAGAATATTAAATTTTATTTCAGTGAAGGTCTGGCTTTTATTGCTGATCAGACGTCTTCTTTTTCCTCTCCAAGTCTGGGTATTCCTATATATCCTCTGGTATAAGGCTTTACTTAGAAGTCTTATCTGTTCTTAGAGATTTTTATTGCTATTACTGGGGGTGGAGGTGAGGGAATGATATTACTAGCTCAGTGATTATTATCTCTTGTGAAGTTTGGGCACACCTTCTGCATTGGTGTAATGCCACTCTTCCTATCCCAGTGTACTTTCCAGTCCTAGCACCGCCTCCCCCCCCCCCGCCATTTCTGATGTTCACTTTGAAGGATGGGATGGGACCCTATGCTGTGGTCTCAGGATCTGTGTGTCATGGTGTCTGATAGTAGCTCTGTTTCTATTTAAGATGTTTTGTAACGTTACAAAAAAGGAAAGATGAAACATTAAGGGCTAAATTTCAATAAGTTGACATTTAAGGAATTATGTAATAGTCAGCCTAGAATCCTGAAAAAGAATGTAATGAATTTTAAGTTAGAAAAAGCAAACGTCTATCTGGAGGAAAGTAATAAAAAGCAGATTCTCTTCCCAAAGACGTATCTTGGCCCACATTGTGGAAAGAGCTAGGATTGGTGATAGAGCAGATATGACAGTTTATTCTGGTATGCTGCTCAGAGTTCCTGTGTCATGTCCATAGATTTAAACAATCTCAATAACCATACTTTTCACTGTGTGCCTCTTCTAGAAGAAAATGGGACGATGTCAAGGAGGTGGTTTTTATACACTTTAAATGTGGTTTTTAAAGAGCAAAACATCCCACAGAGGTTTGTTTATTCAAAAAAAAGTATTGAGTGCTTGCTAGATGTCAGGCACTGTTCTAAGTACAGGATTGCTTCTTTCAAGGAGCTTACATTCTACCAGAGGAAAGATAGACAATAAACAGATAAATAAAATGATTTTTGATAGTGATAAGTATGCTGTGAAGGAAACCAGCTGATAACAGAATTGTGGGTGGGGAGGGGGGGTTCTTTATATAGTGATGACAAGAGAGGCCTCTTTGGGAAGATAAGGTTCAGAAACAAAATCTGAAGACTGCAGGTCTAAGACAGGGATAGGGACCAGAAAGTGCAGAGGCCCAAAGGCAAGAAGGAACCAGTATGGTTGCAACATAGTGAGCAGGAGAGTGGGCTAGGGCTAACAGTACTGAGCCTTGCAAAAAGCCACATGAGGATTATGAATTTTATTCCTTGTGCAGAAAGAAACCAATAGACTATTAATGTAAGAGATGTAAGCTTTGATTTATATTTTAGATCACTCTGGCTGCTGAATGAAAAAAAGTGATTGTAGTGGAGTAGGAGTAACAGCAGGTCGACTGGAAGAAGCCCTCTGCAGTAGGCGAAGCAGGAGATAGTGGTGATTTACAGTGAAGTGGTGGTGGAGATAAAAGAGGAGAGATTCAGGATACCACTGATGGGTCAGATGTGGGAAGTGAGGGAAGGAGAAATTAAAGATTACTTGTAGATTTTTACCTTGGGCAGTTTAGTAAAAACTGCCATTTACTGAAGTCTGGAAGATGGGGAGGAGCACAGATTGGAGGAAGGAGGGCAAGGTGAGCCAAGAAGAGCATCAAAGTTCCGTTTTTGTGTATGTTTAAGATGGGTATTAGTGATAACTGCTCTAGGTCCATTTCATACCTGTCAGTAATCCATTCAGCAAATATTTGTTAAGCTGTTAATAGTGCCAGATGCTGTGATAGGTGCAAGGTATAAAGGGGTAAGCAAAAACAGACATGGTCTCTGCTTTCATGGGGTTTTTTATTTAGTAGGAAATTCAGACATTAAGTATCATATATATATCTTCATTGCTAACATTATGTGGTTGTATTAGTACATATCCATTTATATTCTAAATATGAGGAATATATCTGAGGAAAAATGTGATTTAGTTCAGTATATGGCACATAATACGATGGATGCTGTAAAGCACACAAATAACATGAAAAAGATGTCAAGAAAAGTGAGTATAAAGAGAAACTCTCTGATCATGGAATATACCACTGGGTGCCAGACATTTATACTTTTAGATTCCTTGTTTTATAGATGGGGGGCCTACAGTGTAGAATAGACAAAGCAAAAATACTGGCTGTTAGCCTCTTTGGGGAGGACCTTACAAGAGTCATTTGCTTTAGTTGTTTCAGAATGATGAATGTCTAGGTTATGGCTCTTTTGACACCCTAAGGGAACAGAAACCAAGGTAGCTCAGGATTAGGGGGCTAGTATGTAACATCTAACAGGGAAGCACATAGAAATCCAAAGGTAGGAAATTCAGCAAAGCAGACCTCAGGGACTGCTGTGGGAACCAGAAAGCTGCCAGGAGCCAAAATTACTGTTAGAGATAGTCTCTCTCTACCTTCCATAACTTCTCTGTGCATCTCT